AAAAAAAAAAAAAAACAATTAATACATTTGACCAGTATTCATCAACACAGATATCAAAATCAAATTTAGGAGAAAAAAACAAGTGGTAGTCCAGTTGTGGTTGCACACACCTGTAATCCTAGCACTCTGGAAGGCAGAAGCAGGAGGATCCCTAGAGTTCAAAAGTTGGAGACCAGCATGAGCAAGAGTGAGACCCTATCTCTACTAAAAATAGAAAAACTAGCTGGGTTGCTTGGAAGGTTGAGACAGAAGGATCACTTGAACCCAGGAGTCTGAGGTTGCTGTGTGCTAGGCCGACACCATAGCACTCTAATGTGGGCAACAGAATGAGACTTATCTCCAAGAAAAAAAAAAAAGCAAGTAGCAAAACAGAGAGCTATGATCAGAGACCACTAAAAACCACTTCAGTAGGGCCCCAATTTTCATACAGAGATGATTTTTTATTTCCCAGCCTCTCCTGCAGCTGTATGTAGCCATGTAACCAACTTTATAGCCAATGAGATGTATGCAGAGGAGCTGAGGGGATCTCTGGGAGATCTGTTTAAGGAGAAGGTTGTCTCTTTTTTCCCCTTTTCCAGATAGCATGGAAAGTAAATATAATAGCTGTAGACAGAATAGCCATCTGGAGCCAGGCAGTGATACATTAAATGGAAGGCAAAGGAAGGAGGGGGGTGGGGGACGGGTCACCATATATGGCACATCTCTTGGGGACAGGACACAATTATAAGAGGGACTTTACCTAACAAGTGTAACCTAACTCTTTGTGCCCTCAATGAACCCCAAACAATAAAAAATAGAATAAAATATACTCAGCGCCTGTGGCTCAAGCAGCTAAGGCGCCAGCCACATACACCTAAGCTGGCAGGTTCGAATCCAGCCTGGGCCTGCCAAACAACAATGACAGCTGCAACCAAAAAATAGCTGGGTGTTGTGGTGGGCACTTATAGTCCCAGCTACTTGGGAGGCAGAGGCAGGAGAATCACTTGAACCCAGGAGTTGGAGGTTGCTGTGAACTGTGATGCCACAGCACTCTACCCAGGGCAACAGCTTGAGGCTCTGTCTCAAAAAAAATAAATAAATAAAATAAAATAATAAATGGAAGACAGGAGAGCAGGCCATTGGGGCCAACAGAAAAAGCTAATTAATTAGCACAAGGGCTAAAACAGGGAATTAGGACAGTTCCATAATTCACTGCAGATACAAATGAAATTGCCACTTCCTAGACGTTGTCATCTCTTAGGGTCCAAAAAGAGGATATGGTGACAGTTGGGCCAAAGCAGATACAGTAGAGGAGATATGAGCAAAGCCAGATCCTTACTCCAACATCATTGGCACTTTTCCATAAACAAGTAACAAAATGCACCAGGTCTTTTCATTATAAAAATAAACCTTCATGTTATGGAAAATTTGGAAAATAAAGTAGAGCAAATACAAAAAAGTAAACATTTTAGAGTCTCTTCTTCCAGGTCCACCCCATCCCACCCCAGAAGTTACTTTCTTCTTTTTTTTTTGATCTTATTTTTGAATCAGAGTCTCACCCCGGGCAGAGCGCCGTTGCATCATAGCTCATGCAACCTCAAACTCTTGGGCTCAGGCGATCCTCATGCCTCAGCTTCCTGAATGACTGAGACTACTGTGCTCATATCTACCACAATATCTGGCTTGTTTTTCACCTACTTTTTCTATTTTTTGTGGAGACTGGGTCTCGCTCTTGCTCAGGCTGGTCTTGAACTCTTTCTTGAGCTCAAGCAACCTGCCTATCTCAGTCTCCCAGAGTGCTAGGATTACAGGTGTGAGCCATCACACCTGGCCAACTTTGCTCATTACAGATGATATAATTTGGTTTCCCCTAACATACCATGGGAATATCCCAACATTATTACTCATTTTATTTTGATGTGACTATATATTTTTCCACCAAGTAGATGGGACAGGACTGCCAACTGTTGGTCACCAATACTGTTAGATTCTTTCTTTTCAATGCTTTTCACACTTAGATTCCTAGAGGTAGGATTACTGAATTAAAGAATATGAAAATTTAAAAAGAATTAAAAAGAACAGAGGAGAAGCAGTATCAAAAAGTCTGAAGCCTTGCCAAACAACAATGACAACTGCAGCCAAAAAATAGCCAGGCCTTGTGATAGGCACCTGTAGTCCCAGCTACCTGGCAGTCTGAGGCAAGAGAATCATTTAAGCCCAAGAGTTTGAGTTGTATGAGCTGTGACACCATGGCACTCTGCTGAGGGTGACATAGTAAGACTCCGTCTCAAAAAAAAAAAAGTCGGAACCCTAATGCCTGTGGAACTGAATAAGTGCTTAGGGCAATGCCTGGCACACAGGGAAAGACCAGTAAGAGATGAGTGGCCAAGGGCATTTCA